TCCAAGTCAAGGGGTAGAACCACTTTCTGGCCCCTCTACTTCAAACCAAGGAGGTGCTACAATACCAAATCAAAGTAGTAGTAGTGGTATGCCTAACTTGGAGGGTAATCCAAACGTGAGAGATAATGTCCTAAACAATGGACAGAATATTCCACGTGGTAACGAGGGGGTAGATGTCCAGGCTAATGGTAATGGCCCTAATTATGGTAATTTTGTTGCCAATCAAGGACCAAACATCAGGCCTCATGCAAATCAACCGGTTAATCAACCTGTAGGAATTCCGTATGATCCCAATGTCATGTTGAGTAATCAGATTATGGAAATCGTGCAGATCAGATGGCCTTTGGGGTGCGTCCTGTCATTAGGCCGACGTACACAAAACCATATCCTGATTGGGTAGACCAAGCATATCCATGGCCTAGAGGTTACAAAGTGCCAGAATTCTCGCTGTTTACTGGTCTGGGAGAGGTGTCTACGCTAGAACACATAGGGCGATTCACGTTGCAAAGTGGTGATGTAACCGATTACCATAAAATGATACTTTTCCCTAGTTCGTTAACAGGAGTAGCTTTCTCCTGGTTCATCAACTTGCCAGCGAACTCTGTTCAAACATGGCAACAATTGGAACAATTGTTTCACGCTCAGTTTTATAAAACTGAGCCTGAAGTCACTTTGACCGATTTGGCGAATTTACATCAAATGTCAAACGAATGGGCAGAAAGTTTTCTCCAAAGGTTCAAGACAGCAAGAAGCAAATGTTTTGTACCTTTGTCCGAAAAAGAATTTGTCAAAATCGCTCAAGGCTGCTTGAGCTTTGATTTAAAAAAGAAGTTCCAGGACAAAGAGTTCCCTGATCTTTTCCAGTTGAGTGCGAACGTGATTAGGTATGAACGACTGATAAGAGAAGAAGAACAAATGAAAAATTCTAGTAAAGGGACTTATTACAAAGACCCAAATTTTAATGTTCATACCATTGACGACGAGTCGTACGATCAGGCCGAAATATGTTTGGCCGAATTGGTCAAAGGAGAGACATATACTTGTCCCATAATGACCAAACCTAGACCGTCGGGCAAAGATGATGAGCCCATAAAAGACGGGAATATAAAGACTAGAACCTTCTCGTTCGATGTGACCAAAGCTGACATTATATTCGACAAATTATATAGGGATAAGCAGATAAGATTGAGCGATAAGCATAAATTGCCAAACCCTGAACAAATTAAGGGTAAAAAATATTGTAAATGGCATAATGCATGGTCACACCTGACTAACAATTGCTTGGTTTTCCGTCATGTATTACAGGATGCTATTGAGTCAGGACGAATTACGTTCGATGACAAGAAAAAGATGGCAGTGGACGAGAATCCTTTCCCACAGCCACTCGGAGTAAACATGGTAACATCTGGATTCAAGAACAAGTTACCAAAATTCAAGTTAGTCATAGATGACGGAGAAGAAGATCCAAGACCACATCCCAGCGTCTTCGAACGAATCAAAGGAAAAGAACCAGAAAAGGACGAAAACGTCCTATGTGCAAGATGCAAAAGAGAAATAAATGGAGACACGGAGAAACTAGGGACATGGCAGCATCCTCATCGCCCTGCCTTCTTTCCAAACATTCAACCTGGTAGAGGGCGAGGTACATCGCCTTTTGAAAGGCAGTTCAGACCAACAGATGTTCGAAGAACATTTAGGCCGCAACCTCGCCGGCCAAATGTATGGCATTCATTCCAGTACAGCGCAGGAAGAGCAATACCCTTCGATGAGATGACCAGGACTCAACAAAGGCGTTTCCAGCGAAACTACGGACGGATGATGAGGCAGCAACAAGGAATGCCATACCCTAAAGCACCTCTACTACTCAAGGTAGCCAATCAAAACGTCCTAAAGAGTAATAAAGAAGCTGGTGCAGATGAATCAATGAAAGAACTGCCAGAGACCTCTTCTGGGAGATC